AATGGATGATAATGGCAATTCAGAATATGCCGGATTTGTAAATCCTGTATTAGATTTGTCTGCATCAGGTGCAAGGATATCTGATTCTGGTCATCAAGACAGATAATGAAACTGCGTGGCCCTTGTTTATGACCACACATTGAAGAGTGAAATAGAATGTACAAAACCAATTTGCTCTTTTTTAACATGGTTCCCTTTTTCTTACAAATTGATCAGCAAGGAATGGGAATGACTTGCTATCTGAATTAATTCAGAATTAAGTGCAATTTTATCATCTACCTTCTAAGCTTTTATGAAAACTGGGATGATTCTATTCTGTATATTTCTGGATATCTGGATTTAATATAAAATTATCTGCACTAATTTAAGCTTCATAGCTTGACATATCTATATTTTAACTAGCCTTTTTTTCTGGATGATGTTTCTACTGATTTTGGTTTTAAAATTCATCATTGGCCTAACATTTAACTCATAAACAGTCTTATATAATTTATCTAGTACTTGAATATAGAAAAATAATTTAAAAAACATTTTTATTTCCAATATGTGCTTTTTGACTTGTTCTTTAGTTATTTAGAGGGTGTAGTTAGTGAGCTGCAAAACATATTTCCACATGGTAAATTGCAGTTTTTCCCTGTCTAGCTTATAGTCTTCTTAGCCATGTGTTGTCCTCTTCCCATTTATTTTATTTTTTTGTTACTTTATGCTAAGCACAGTTAACCTCAATAAACTTAGTATAAATAATCAGTTTAGGTAAGATACTTTCTTGTATAATATGCCAGACTTAGTAAGTGTGCGCTAGATAGAAAAACAACTATAAAAATTCTTTGTGTCAGACTGGAAATTTTAACCAGTATCTAGTGGAGAACTGGGAGGACCAAAGTCTTGATTTCCCCGCCCTCACAAACAGACCAACATCAGTTACTACATGGTCCTTAAAATTCTGTAGTTGTGGAAAAACTTATAATTCAGCTCAACTGGAACAATTATCAAAAAGCAACATTCTCTGAGTGAGCTGGGAGAGGGATGACTGCTCTGCTGCTGGGGTGGGAAGAGCAAGAACCTAAAGACTGAATTCCTATCGATACATTTTTAAAAAGGAAAAAAAAAAAGTTCAAGTTACAAAACAGTGTGTTTAAGTGCTCTAGCTTTCCTGTGCCTCTAAACCGGATGGTTAATATTGCTAATAGCAGACTGAAATTCAAGGAGGTGTGCAGTTATTGCAAATCTGGTGTAATGTATTGTGTGGTGTCCCCCAATATTTAACATAAGTTACACTTTTTAAAAAAAGAAAAAGCTCACTGAAGAGGACGTGCAAAACACTTGTAGATGTCAAGCTTTCCCCAAGGTTTCAGTAAAGCCATTCTATTCTACTGTTATTTTGTGTAGCTGTCTTGTCCCTGAAAAAAAAGGGAACAGGGTGTAACTTCACCGTTGTGGAGTAAAAGCAACACACTGTGTTAAGTAGTAAATCTGAATCATCATCAGAACTGAATTTGATGGTGAAAATTGTGTCACTGTTAGATCATCTGAGCCTATATATAATATTAGGGTCACTGCAGTGTGGTCCTCTTCATGATAACTTGAACAAAAATAACTGCACACTTGGATTAAATATGTACAAATATCAACATTAATGAACAGATAAATATTGTTGACAACATTCCATTTCTTAATTTAAATAGTAGCTATGTCATTGAAACTATTTTAATGTAATTATCTACGTTTGCAATGCCTGTAAGAAGCTTTAAAAATTTGTACACATCAAATGTATATTTTTGGTTTGGCATAAGCTACTACTGTGTAACTTCTCCTGAACATTTATTTGTATACTATATTCCTATGGAAACAAAGGCAACTTTCTCAACATGTAAATAACACGTTTTTTACCTGCTGAAACTGTAACTTACCTTGCAGTGGTCACTACTTTTTCTGACCAGTGAACATGAGGTTAACTTGTCCTGACCATGCTTTGAGAAAGTAAACTAGCTGATAGTCCTGCTCGTAGAAAGAACAAGCACTTAGGAGAAAGGAAGCTGACTCCAGCTGAAGGCTTTTACTGTGATGGGCATGTCATGTAGCCATGGTTAATAGCATTTTGCTTTTCAGAGCTCAGTGTGCCACACAGAGTGACTTAAGAAATTATGGTCAATAGTTGTGGAAATTTAAGAAATTGAAAGATTATATAAACAGCTCATGTGAAACAATTCAACAGTACTGTAAAATGCGTATCTGTACAAATTTAGAAGTCATTAAAATTTTCAGTCAGTCTTATGTTTGGAAATGTTTTATCTGTTGCTGGTTTTGTGGCTGCCATGTCATGCATGTCAGTAAACTAAGGAAGGTTTTAATAAATAATTAGCTGTGTCTTTAACTACTGAATTCCATAGCATCCCTTCTTGAGACCTGTTGCTTTGGAAGGGAAGCTCTGACAAGCTGCCATATCGGAGGACTTGAGGAACTTGGAGCATGGAGCCCTTCTTCTATCAGAAACAAGCAGCTGTACCCTCATACTTCAAAGGTAAGATAACCTTCCTTGTGTAATGCAAGCAGCTTCCCTGACTTCATGTCTGTCTGAGCTAGTGCACCATTCGAGTTGACTTAGCCAGCTGTGCCTGTATAGAGGAAATTCAGCGTTTTTAATAGGAGAGTATTATTTTTAATTCCAGGGAAGTGTTTTACTGAGTTGTTCACCTACGGGTTACACATATGTTTCTATGCTAAAGTTGAACCATTGTTGAATATAAAAGCATTTGACGTGACTATTTGGGCAGTCTGTTCAGAGTTACTTGGTTAAGCATAAAATTGGTGTTTCAGCATTGTCTTTTAGTATTCCATGATTGTGAATACTAGGACAGTTGAACCAAGCAAAAACTACAAAAAAATGTTAGCTGCCTTTGTGTGTGTAATATTTCTCACAATTAAGTTAGCAGTATATGACTAATGGCAAGTATATGACTATTCCCAAGGTTTTCTCCTGGTTCCTGTAGATGTGCCTAAGGAATCCGCCGCTCTAGATCTGTGGATATCTGTAGAGTCCCTCTGTACAGAGTGAATACAAAATCTACTGAGACGCAGCACTCTGAACTCTGCAGACCAGACAGAAGACTTTTCTCAGGTAAGTACTCTATTTGTAGATGCTTTTGTTTATATATTGTACTTGAAAATTTGAGATTGGGGTTGTCGCTTTTTCTTTAGATAATAGCCCAGAAGGTGTAAGCAATTATTATGATCAGTGCCATAGGTTAATGTAACAGCCAGTGAATGGAAACTGGGTAACGATACTGCTGAGTGGTAGTATTAGCAACCTGTTTTTTAAACCCAAAGCAGTACAAAACAAGAACTTGCATGTCATCCGTAATAACTTAAGAGCACTAATAGCAAGAGAGCCATTTAGTGGGAATACAAAACTAACGTTTCCTCCTCCCTTGCACACAAGCCAAATTAGCGAGCATAAGAAATCCCATGCATTTTATATGAGAGGCTGATTTAATGTAAAAGCTTTTATGCATAAGAGCTTGTTTCAGATTATATTTGCATCTTGCTCTCTTTTTCTAGACAGCTTGCATCTGCATGTATTGGCCACTCTGTCTAATTAAAGAGTCGGAAGACTCGGGTCAAAAGCATAGAAAAGTCGAGCAGCCAACAACTGCTGGAAATCTGCAACCAGTAGCACCATGTCTGGTGACACGGTGATACCTGCTGGGGTTTGTTTTGTTAAGCTGCAGGGCTGGGTGTGTGCAGGCATTTGTGCCAAGTTGGCAGCTGAATTGCACATCTAGGGCCAAAGACTGTAAACGTTAAGTACCAGAGCCTGGTTCAAAGAGTATAAAACATGGCAACAAGGTATTTTTGGCAAGGGTGAGATGAACAGACAAATGAAATCCTACGTAAGGTTGTGTTCAAGTTTCCTTGCCTCTTCTGTGACTTTCTCTCACTTGTGGTTGTTTGCCTTAATCTCAGGTTATGTAGCGTAATTCAGCTGTCCTCCCCTCAGCTGTAATTCTGGTTTTCTTGTAATTATTAACGCTGAAATGCACTCTAATGTTTAGAGGTGGTAAGATGGGTAAGTCTTATGTATGCTCTGTTCTGATTCTTTCCAGTGTGTCTTTCAAGCAAACTAAAATACTTGACAAAAAACAAGTGCCAATGAAAAGCTGAGCCCGTAGCAAAGAAAAACTTAACTGAAACAACCTTAGAAATACTTAAATGAAAACAAAATTGTAAGAGAGGTTGGGACAGGGGGTAGAGGTGGAAAACTTGCTGAAAGTATTTTAGTCAACTCTTATTTTGGAGCAATGCCACTTTTAGCCCAGAATAGTGCCAGTGAAAATTTTTTATCTGGATTGTCGTGGAAATAATTTTGTTCACCATAAGTGCTTTTAGACTGTAGTTGTAGAAGACAGCAAATCCTTACTAGGCAACTAAATGCTTTTATTACAATTTTTTTCTGGATTTTTACATACCATGATCACTGATGCTACATGTTCGTTTACATTCACAAGCGAAAGGAGTTAACTTGCAAAAAATAGGTATTTTTAATTCATTTTAAAAATAGAAGAAAAATCTCGCCGCAAAGTTAATAAAAAACATTGAAGGACTGTGCTGACAAAGTGTTTCTAAGCTGCAAAAATCTGGGAAGTTACAACCTAGGCTTGAAAATACTGTTTGGAATTTCATGTCAAAAGCGAAGCACAACGTATAACAAATGCAGTTAGATGTTATGTCCCTACTTAGCTAACCAGTGTTGGGGCTAAAGCACTGTTCTGTGTGCTCTATATTAATGCCTGTTAAATACATGTTCAAGGCATGCAGTCACAGTTCTTGAATGGAATCTGCTGCAATGGATTGGAGTGGCCCTGCACGTCTCCCACATGTTTATGCAGCAAACAGTGGTGATCAGAGAGCACATACGCCCTGAAGACAGTGGCAGGAATCTGCTTCTGTTGAACAAGTATGTTCCGGTATGCCTATGCTGAAAACAAGTAAGACGACTGATGTGCAGCAGTGAGAACCATCAAGAACAGCGGACTGAGATAACAGCCTTCAGTTTTGGAAGTTGTGCAGGTTGCAAATGATAAATCCTGATCCAGCCTCCTTCTCCCCGCTAGCATGACTCATTTTCATCAGTCTCCATGGGGCTTTTGCCTTGGGAAGGAAACAAGGAAGAAGAAATGCCATTCTCCGGTATGGGTTGCAGTGATGGCAGGCATCTTTCTTGTAAGATTGGCACTTCAGTCAAGTGCAAGTAAGTCTCAAAATAATCCACGGACTCCCCTTCTTGAACCTCTGCTAAAATCTGGTAGTCCCCAAAACAGATGATGCACTTCCATGGCAGGTCTGTTTTGTTTAAGTAACCCAGTTCTGTTTGGTCCACTAGCAGTTTTGTTTTCTTGCTCATGTTCTTTATCTCAAAACAAAATTCTGAGCTGTTCAGTTTTCTGTAAAACTGCAATGAAAACTGAATCCGAGAAACACGAGTATCCGTTAAGTTATAATGGCAGACATTAGAATCGCGGCCAAACTTGGCCATTTCATCTGCTCTGACCTGTTCTCGCTTACAGAAGTTCAAGCAACGAAACATCATCTTGTCTTTTTGGCAAGGATGGTAGAAGGTCATGTGGAGACATGTTACTGTTTCTTCAGTTTCAGCTTCTTCAAAAGAGGTCATGATGAAATGAGTCCTCCGAACTACAAGAAAGAAGTAAAATGACAGCATGAAATCACTGTAGTACCAAAAAAAATGACTGCAGCGTGGCATTAAGATACTTCATGTACTATTGTATAGTGAGTTTATGTAATTTATAGCAAATTGGCTGACAGTAAATGTAATGAAACCACTAGAACAAAGAAGTGGGCGTTGAGCCTACCCAGTCCATGACAACCATCATTCCCCACCATTTTGCCAGAGACTTGTTCGGTGATCACAGCTAAGTGACAGATTGTTCTGTGCTGAATTCTTTCCAGCAGTCAATCTCGCATCTGTTGCAATGGCTGCGTAGCACTTCAGAACTCTGAAAAACACCCATGACTGTAAATTGGTGCCAACTAGTTCTTTCTGAGGATCTCACAGGTAGATTTATCTTTGCAAGAAATATGTCCCTGAGCAGTGACAGTAAGGTTTACTTTATGGACTTAAAATGGAGCATTAGTAGTACTGTCTGGGCATGCGTGCTCTTGTTTTACAGTGTAGTCCTTTGACTAGAAGGTATCAAATGACTTTTACAAATGCAGTCTGACTGTAGGCAGTAGTATTTCAAATGTGTATAAAGCATTCTTGGCTCTTTAGTCATAATTCACCTCTTGTATGAAACAAAATCCAGTGTTTAGAAGTGACTGATGTGCCAGTATGTAAAATGAATGCAAAAGCTGGAATATCAGCGAGACCTAAAGGAGGAATTGTCACCAGCTCTAGGTATTTCCCTGTTGCCTATCAGAAAATCCCAGTTATCTGCTGCAGAAGTACTTAACTAGGCACTAAAAATAACAAATAACTTCTGTTGGGTTTTAGTTTGGCGTTGTTTGTTTTTTTTTTTAAGCTTCTCAAGTGCAGCACAGAGACGCTTGCTTGTAAACTAAGTTCTGTTCTAAAGTCTGAGGAACTGCAGTGCATCCAAGTCTTATCTATGAGACGTCTCTGGAAACACTGTGATCTGGTCCTCTATACGTGCAAGCTCAGTATTTTCCTGCGCTGAAAGTTAGTCTAAAGAAAGAAAAGGCTGGGTACTTAAAGTAGGAACCAGAGAATGAGTTCTCAGTTAGTCACCAGAGAAACATGCGAGCAGTCAATTAACTGAAATAATATAGTACAGATGTTTGTCATGTTTTTCCTTCTAGATTGCAATAAGTTCCCAACATGTCACACACAGATCCTGTGGTTTCTCACCAGCTCTGGTCAATGACTGACACTGAAAAGCAGCTTATCATTTAATCTGCTTTTTTATGGGTAGGTGAATCATCACTGCAGTTAACTATTCTAATTTGTGGTTTTTTTAAGGCTAAATTATACCACTGTACATTAACTCCAAGCACAGTGAATGGTGGTATATCAGTGTGTCACCTTCTGTGTGAAACCTGAAAATTGCTTCCTTCTTCTATCTTTAACACAGTAACAGCAATAGTTTAGCAACCTCAGCTTGTGTGCTTAGGTAGGCTGCAACAGTGCTTCTACCAAGCTTAGATGATTAGAGAAATAGAAAATTTCAAGTAGCTCTCAGAGCTCACTTTAAAACCAGGAAATACCATCTGTGCTTCTGACAGAAGTACAAAGAGACGCCTTGATGGCAGGTTATTCCTGCGGTGGCACCAGTATCCATCCCTCTTCCTGTTAGTATGCCTCAACTCTGGGGAGCTGGAAGTGGCTCTGTGAGCAGCAGGATGGACTCTTTCTGTGCTTAGTTCTGCTCTTTGCTGTTTTGCACCAGCAGGAGGATGTGAGATGTTATTCGAGGTCAGCTTTGGTTAAAGGGGAAAACCAAGTCACTTCACTTATTTTGCAGATCCGCCTACAGGGACAGTTTTCTATCTCAGGATTTGGGCTGAATTTGATATCATCTTAAACGCATGTTCTGCTTCTGTAGTATCTTCCTTCATGGGTTTCTGAAACGGATCAGGACTGGGCAAAACAAAGGAATATAAAGAAATATATTTTGAGAAATCTGCAGTGTATACAACTGTGTATCAGATCAATGCACAATGTTGGCTTTATTCACATTTATGAATGTTACAAATGGCTATGTTTATTAATTAGGGAAGGGCAAGAACAGCCACTGATGGGCTTCAGCAGCACCTATTGAACCTGGATCTCAACAGCTCCCACAGACCCCGCTAGCTATTCATGATCTGCTTGTGTGCCACCTCGGGCATCCCCAGCTCAGCTGCTGAGTCCTGCGTTAAAGGTTTATTGAGGCTGGACTGAACATACTTTCATGTAAGTACTGAAGGAGTGTCTATTTACTAGATGGCAGCAGACAGGAGAAAAATTTCAGAGAACTCCCAACTGGAGATAGAAACTAGTCTATCGTTAAATCCAGACTTCTCCTGCAACTGCAAGGTCCCACGTTGCGCTGCTGTTGTCTGTACCTTAATTTGAGTCAAGCGAATCGTCATCTTACCGCTTGCCCATTTTCCAACATTGTCTCCTTCAGCGTCTGTCATTATCCCCATTGTTAGAGACAGGAGAATGACACAGAGTATTAAGAGCAAGGATGCCTAACCTGAGAACCATAGGGCTCCTCCTTGAGTCTTTAAAGATATTTTCAAGAGCTATGACTCCCTCTACGACTTACTGCTCACAGACCTCTGCCAGTTTGCTTTGGCAAATCTAAACATAAGGGTTCAACCTGTGTGTCAAGAAGAAAAATAACATCTGTGTTGTTGTTTGACTTTCATTTTAAATGACTGCGGACTTTGAGGCAGGGGCCACGCAGAATATGGTTTTCAAGCACATTACACAAGGACAGCTATCCTTTGCGTCTTCCCCAAAAGCCTATTTTTTGCCCCCTGCAAGAGATGACTTGCGTTTCAAACTCTGCTCATCCCGGGGCCAGCTTGTCCCGTGTGCTGGTGCGTGTACCCTGCACCCAGCAAGCCAACAGCTCCTAGGCAAAGCTACTTCTGCCAGCTCCTAACCTGGGAGCGCAGCCTCGGTTTTGTGAAAAATAACCATCGTTGCTGGCGTTTCCCATGAGAGTATGCCCAACCTTGTTGCCCGCCCGCGGACACCCCAAGCAGGACTCCGTGCCCCGCAGCCCCGGCCAGCAACTCCTCGCACGGACGGCAGCAGGCCGAGGGGCCGGAGCTTCCCGAAAGCGTTCGCCGCCGAAGCGGCCGCGTCCGTCGGAACTTACCGAAGAAATCCCGCGTCTCCCCTGTGCCCGTACCCGGGGACCCGGCACGCCGCCTTCCCCCGCCGGCGGGCGGGGGGGGGGCAGCGTCTCCCGCCTCTTTCCTCCCTCCGCGCCGCGGGGGACGCTCCTCAGGCGCCTCACGGAGGGTCCGCACCGGGCGGGCTGCGGCCGCCGACGGCTCCTCGACACCCACTTCCCCCCGGTACGCCGTGAGGGAAGGCGGGGAGCGGGCAAGAGTCCCGGCGCTGCGGGCCGCTCGACCGCCGGCAGGGCCTTCCCGCCAGCGGGGCGGGGGCTGGCTGTGAGGGAAGGCGGGGGCGGCGGGCCGCGTTCGGGGCGGGAGGCGCTGGGGCTGCGTTGGGGCCGGGGCATGAGCTTGAGGGAGTTTTTCAGAAAGTATACCGAGTTCTCCTTTTGTTATAGTGTCTAAACCGGGAGAAAAGAAAAAAATGGTCTCAGCTCTGTCTGCGGTTTTATGTGGGCATCTAAAAATCTCATGCTCGTAACTTAAACCCGTAGTCACAGCGATGTCGAGGACGTGATCCAGAGTTTGCAGGCTCGGGTTTTAGACAAAATATTTCAGGTTCAACCCCCCCCCGCCCCGATTAACACTTTGAAAAGTAAAACACTTTAGTAAGCAGCACGTTATAAGCATAACAGTTGACTGATAGTGTTCTTAAACGGAGTGTTTTCAAGTATTTGGTTATTTGCTTTAAGCAGCAGTGATTCAGCTTCATTGCACTGCCTTTAGGAAAAAAACTAATTTTTCCTTGGCTGCTGATCGAAGCTGAGCTGAAAACTTTCCATTTCACTAGAAAACCTGAGGCAGCGCTGCCATCTGGTAGGAAAAAATGAGCAACTCTCATTCGGCCGCTTCATTTTTCTTATTAAGCAAGATTACTCCCAAGCACAGAACAAGAGGCAGAGTGTAGGAAAAAACCTCTTTCATCTTGGACTCAATCCTGGATAATCAGTGTTCTTCCTTGCCTGTGCTTGTACAGCATTGTGATTAGCAATGTGTTGTGTCTCGATAAGTGCTGTAGGTTTGATTGCTTTGGCACGGGCAGTGAAATACTGTGTTGGTTCATATAAACTATTTTTGATTTGCGGGTTCCTTTTATTTATTCCACAAACAAGTAAATTACTCGTGGCTTGATAAGTTCCTTTGTATTTCTTGCAGAACAGCTTTTATCTGTACGCAGGCTAATAATACCTGCTGTGTATGCCCTCCCCTTATATCAGAAAAAAGGGGTTAGACTGTGTTTTGCAAGAAGTCACGTTGAAAAGCAGAAAGAGAAGACAGATTCTTCCAAGTTTCTCCCTTAGCAGAATGCCTTTCCTGCAGCAAGTAGGGCTGGGCGTGTGTGCTCACACAAAAGCACTTTGCTGCCTTCTGGAAAAGCCCGAGTTGTGCAACCCTGGTATTTATTGCATTTGTTGATGGTTATAATTGTCAGCCCTTCAGTTCCCGAAACAGCCTGCTTCCTGGGCCGCGAGAGAGCTTTTCTCATAGGTTTATTCCCGTACTTGTACATATTAAAGTCTGTGAGTACTTTTCCTTTTTTTTCTAGGATTATCTAACCTCATATTAACCGCATGTTCCTTATTAGTTTGTGATACAAGTATAGCTCTGTGTGATTTTTTACAGGAGAGGACAGGAACTGGATTTACAGCATGCTTTTCTCTTCCCAAAGTTTCTAACTGGTTGAAATGCTGCCAGGTTCAGGAACACAACTCCAGGTTTGCCCCGTGTGAGAAAAATAATTCAGGCACTCTGCTTGTGGGTTTTTTGGGTGATCTTCCTGCTAAAATGGTTATGTGG